TATTCTGGACATGGAAATTTAATTAGATATTGTTTTCATCCTGAGACTATATTTTGCTTTAGAGGTAAAAGAATACAACTGCATTTTCCTTAGAGCCTATGGAAAAGCTTAGATAAAACATCTAACATCAGAATATATATCGATATTTTGTGTATTTTTTTTCACTGAGGGTTATAATCGAGGCATAGGAAAAACATTCTTGTCTCTTTGACAGGTAAATTCCCAAAGAACTTGGAGAAGGCCTTTTGTGGCGATGTGGACAAACCAGCAGGCATTGTGACTTGGGAAGAACTCAAGACAGATGTCAGGCACCAGCTGTGAGCCTGGTTTCTGGTTAGGGTACAAGTAGAGAGTAAGGAGGAGATAGGAGGGGCTCCGGTAATTTTTCTTTTTAATTTCAGAATATTACAGGGGTACAGATCTTTGGTTACATGAATAGCCTTTGTACAGTTTGAGTCAAGGTTGTAAGTGTGCCCATCACTGGGTAGTGCTCGCCGTACCTGTTAGGTGTGAATTTAACCATCTTTCACCCCTCCCACCTGCTTGATTTCTGTTGAGTTTCACTATCATATGTGCACATATTATGAGTACATGTGCTGTTTGTTTTTCCATTCTTCTAATACTTCACTTAGAAGATGGTCTCCAGTTCCAACTGGTCTCCAGTTGTTAGAAAAAGTATTAGTTTAACATGTTTTTAAGTGGCTGTAGTACTCCTTGATATACACATACTACATTTTATTAATCCACTCATATTGATGGACACTTGGGTTAATTCCACGTTTGTGATTGTGAATTGTGCTGCAGTAAACAGTTGATTGCATATGTCTTTTTGATTAAATCAGGTGTTTTCCACTGGGAAAATACCTAATAGTGGTATTGCTGGATCAAATAGTAGGTTTACTTTCAGTTTTTCATGGTATATCTGTATTACTTTCCATAGAGGTTGGATTAGTTTGCAGTCCCGACAGCAGTGTATGAATGTTACTTTCGCTACACATCTCCACATCTACACTAGCATCTGTTCTTTTAGACTTTTTGATAAAAGCCATTCTCTTGTAGTTAATTAATATCTCATTATGCGTTTGACTTGCGTTTCTATGATGATTAAAGCTGTTGATAATTTTTCATATGTTTACTGGCCATGGGTTTATCTACTTTTAAAAAGCTTCTGTTCATGTCTTTCCCCTTTTCTTATGGGGTTGCTTGATTTTTTTTCTTGCTGATTTGCTTGAGTTCTCTGTAGGTTCTAGTTATCACCCCTTTATCAGATGTACACCAAGCAAATATTTTCTCCCATTCTATAGGTTGTCTATTTGCTCTATTGATTGCTTCCTTGGCTGTGCAGAAACTTTTCAATTTAATGAGCCCCATTTGTTAATTTTTGTTGCCACCGTTATTGCCTTTGGGATCTTTTAAATAAATTATCTGCCTGAGTCGATATCTATAAGAGTTTTTCTAACATTTTCTTCTAGAATTCTTACAGTTTCATGCCTTAGGTTAATCTAGAAAATCCTAAAAATTCTGCTGAAGAACACCTGGAATTGATAAATAAATTCAGCTAAATCTCAAGTTACAAAATCATTGTACACAAATCAGTAACATTCCTATATACCATTAGCAGTCAAACTGAGAAAAATCAAAGACATATACCTTTCAGAACAGCAACAAAGAATAAAAAATACCTGGGAATATATTTAACCAAGGAGGTGAAACACCTCTACAAGGAGAACTATGAATCACTGAGGAAGGAAATCTCAGGGGTTGTAAACAAATGGCAAAACATACTGTGCTCATGGACTCAGAATCAGAATCAACATTGTTAAAATGTCTGTTTCTACTACCTAAAATGACCCACAGAGTCAATGCAATCCCTGTTGAAATATTAAGATCATTTTTTAATTAAATATCAGACTTGAGGCTTTAGTAACGAACATGGCATGGCACTGGCACAAGAACAAAGACGTAGACCCGTGGAACAGAACAGACAACCCAGATGTAAAACCATCCTCATGTTACCATCTGATCTTTGTCAAAGTAGTCAAGAGCATACAGTGGGGAAAAGAATCCCCGTTCAATAAAGGGTGTTGGGAAAAATTGATAGCCACATGCCGAAGAATGAAACAGAATGCAGACCTCTCACCACTCACAGAAAATAAGATTTTTAATTTATATTTGAAAACCTGGATTTGTGTGTGTGTGTGTGTGTGTGTGTGTGCGCGCGCGCATACATGTTTGGAGAGTATGACATGTGGTCGGTAGTGGGGAATTCTGCTTAAATTGCATTGAACTCTTATTTTATTTAAAAGAAAAATGTGTGGGCAGTGCCTATGGCTCAAAGGAGTAGGGTGCTGGCTCCATATAGCGGAGGTGGTGGGTTCAAACCTGGCCCTGGCCAAAAAAACTGTAAAAAAAAAAAAAAGAAGAAGAAGAATGTGTTACATATCCTTACACTCTAAATCATTCTGAGGAATCTTAGACAAGGAGCTTAATGCAAAGAATTTAAGTCAGACAGCTTATTTCCAATTTGGCTCTGTTTCCTTTTAAAGATCAGACCTTGAGTATGAGATTTAACCTCTCTGAGCCTCCTTTTCCTTTTTGTAAAACAGAGAAAGCACGTTTTATACATCTCAAACTGTAGGTATAAGGCAAACACCAGATGTTCGCTAAGCAAATTGTATATACCACAATAAGAGAAAGTTAAGTAAGTTGTAGCAAGAAATACAAAGCAGCTACCTTAACATTAGATTACAGGGCAGACTTGGATAGGCTTTACAGTTAGACCTGAGATGAGTTCTTGGCCTTCTGTAACAGTGTGACCTGCAGCACAGTCTCTTCCTCTCTGGTACCTGCGCCTCCTGCCCCACCCAGTCTGCCTCATCTGATTCCTGCTGTTCTGCCATAGCCTCCCGCTGGTGCCTGTGCCTGCTCTCACCCACTTCTCCCAACAGCTACCTCAGTGATTTTTAAGAATGTAAATGAAATAGCATCATGCTCTAATTTAAACTCTGTAATGCCTTCCATTATGTCTAGAGTGAAATGCTCTAAATACCTGCATGTTCTGGTCCCCTGCTCCCTCCCTGGCTCATCCTCAGTCTCTCTGTTGTCTCTCTGTCTCTTGCTTCTTTGTCTGTTTCTCATCTCAGCTCAAATATCTCTCCCTCAAAACGTTCTGTGACAGCCTTATGTACAGTAGTGCCTTCTCCTGCTACTCTCCTCACACTTCCCTGGTTATGCAAATGTATTCATGGTGCTGACCACGCTTAGACTTCCTCTTGCTCATGTGCTGGGTTCTTGTTTACGGGATAAGTATTTTCTCCCAGAAGAGTGTAAGATCCATGAGGCAAATGGCTGAATTGGTATATCTGTCTTCCCTGTAGGACTGTGAGTCAGTCAGAAGAAAAATCTGATTTCTATTCACTTTTTCATTTTTTCTGTATCTCATAGAACATCTAATTCAGCAAATTCTGAGTATATTCAGTTATTAAAAATGTGTTTTAGTTCCCCACATTTCTCTTTCTACTCGCATAACTCCACAAAGTTTAACCTCACCGAAGTACAATTCGTAGACTCTACTCATTTTTCACTATTCATTTTGTTTGCTTATTTATGTAAATTTATGGGGACACAGAAGCAATTTTGTCCCATGTGCAGTGGTCAGTTCAGTTTCCCACCATTGGAAGAGCTTACCCAGTACCCACTAGCTCATTCTCATCTCCCCGCGACACCCTCTCCCTGCCACGTCTCCATTGTCCATCACTCCACTCTCCGTGTCCAAAGTGTTGCTATTTTTTGATGTTGCTTTTAAAAATAATTTTATATTTTAAGATATTAGGGGCTACAAATGTTCTTGTTATGCAGGTGAATTGTCTAATGCGGAAGTCGGGACTTTTAGTGTGCACATCTGTGCATGTGGTACCTGATGGGTATATGTAGTGACATGTCCACCTTCAACTCTGTGCCGAGTAAACCGTTATAACCACTCTCCTCATTCCTTGCGCACGCCCTCAACTTCTTTTCCCCCCTTCCCTTTGAAGCACTTGTTTATTCTGTTTCCCGTAAGACTTAAATGCCCTATGTGTACTGGTAACTCAAATACTGATGTATCTCGTCTGAGTCTTTTTCAGGAAATTCATCCTTGTCCATCTAACTACCTGCTCTCCACCTCCACTCAGATGGCCACAGTCATCTCAAACACGATATGTCTAATACTGACCTTACTCTCTACCCTTACCCCACATCTGCTTCTCTAACAATCTTCCCTATCTCAGAACATAGCAGTTCTATCTTTCTGATTCCTCAGTTGAATCATGACTCTGTTCTTTCTCTCATGTCTGATGTCTAATTCAATGACCATTTCTAGTTGGCACTAAGATCAAAATATATCTGTTAGCAAACCCTTTTCCTTTCTTATGTAAGTATTGCTACAGCCCTGGTCCAAGCCACCATTACCTTTCAGCTAACTACAGGTATGTTCTCCCACTTGCTACATCCCACCTCCCCACACTCCAGTTCACAATATAGCAAGTGGTGATCTTACTAAAACTCAAGCTCAACCATGCTCCTCTTCTCAAAATGCTGCGATAGCTTTCTGTCTCATGCAGAGATAATACAGCTACTTATTTCCCCCAGTGCTCACCTTGCTCCAGCCACGGTTGGATGGATTCCACATGCACAGAGGGAATGAAAGCTTGGCTTAAACTGAACCAACATCAATTTATGTGAGGGTGTAAATCATTCTTCAGAGTAGATCTTCACCTCAGAAGCAGTTTTTTCAGAGGCCACAAATGTCTTTGACAGTGGAAATTATGTTTCTCAATCTAAGAGTGTGACAGGATCAATCTAGGAGGCTTGCACGTGGATTTTTTGTTGTTGACTTTGGTGAAACATTAAAAAAAATAAAGTATCTTTTCCTAGAAAATAATTAGCCACTGAAAGTTGATTAATTGAAACTTGGAGCATATAGCTATAATCATTGTTTTGTTTTGTTTTGTTTCATTTAGGCCATCATTTTCAATCACAAATGAATTCATCTTGAAATTTAATCAAACAAAAAATTCCACAGAGCACAAGAAATTGTTAGAAGTAGCTAGAAAAAACATTCTAAAATGTAAGGTAATGGCACACCATTTGATTACTTTTAATTAGAAACTTCTTTTTCCAGTTGGTGGATGGTTACATGTTCTAAAATATTGAAAGGAAAATAAATACACATTTTTCCTTAGTTATAAGTAGGCATCATTAAGATATTAATGCAAATTAAAGTAATAGCCTATAGCCAAATAATTGAATGTCAGAGGGCTTCTTGAGTGAAGGTTCCTCATATATTTGGGGAGAATATAGCTGTTGAAACCCATTCAAGAATCGATAGCAAAATATCAAAGTTTGGCAAATAAATTTCTGAATTTTTTTTCTGAAACAATTTTAATGGAGATATGATATGGTCCCAAGAGGACATATTTTGAGATTGGTTAGAGAGTGTTTGGAAAGAGACATAAATGGGAAATGAGAAGTGAAAAGGTCCTGGGTAAAGCTCGCTTGGTAAAGTCAGCGAGACTGATTTTCTTTCCAAAAGGAAAGAAAACCTTCCTAAACTTCTACTTGCCTTGCATGACACAATCTGTTCTTTCTCGGTAACAAACTATTCTTTACCGAACTTGTGAAAAATAATCCTTTATGAATATGACATTGATTCGCATATTTTCAAAGGTATGAAAACAGAACGGGAAGTGAAGTAAGTCCTTGATCTGCCTTTTCTGTCTCAGATTCAGGTTAATTTTGACAGAGAAAGAATACAAATATTTTTCTTTGATATTGAATAATTCATGAAATGAAAGCTGAAAAAAAACAGGGCATAAATTCAGCCATCTTTTTTTTTTTTAATTTTTTTTGCTGTTGTGATGGTTGTTATTTTTCAGTTCATGGTTGCCCATATATTTGAAAACTTTGAAAAAATGCATTTAAAACTTTTGGTTGGAAAAAGGGTATCCTTTTGATAATGATACATTCAGCCAGGGCCAGGAGGCACGTTGCTCAGTGAGCTCCCCCTCTTCAGTTGGCCAAGTGCCCCTGGGGCAGCCCCTGGAGTGGGCACAGGATGGGACGGAAGGGGGGCCACTCCTGACCACCCTTCCTGTTCATTCCCTTCAGTCCAGCAACCCCGACATCATCAGGGCTTTCCAGCAAATTGACATCAAACTCGTTTCTGCTTAAACCTATTTATTGAATACTTTTACAAAATAAAGTAAAATAAATACATTTCCTTTAAAAAATAAAATAAATGAAATAAAAGTAATCAGTAGAAAGTAAAGAATAAGAATTATTTTGAGCAAATAACTACTGATATTACTCAGACCATTAACATTTTCTATATTTTAACACTAGTGCAGTTTGCATGTCAAAAAATACAATAAAAAGCAAAAATATAAAGTTGTGGGTCAAGAGCACTACTCTAATGAAATGACTCTTGGGAAATAATTAAGGGTTAATAATAAATAAATAAATAAATACGTGAAAACTGTGCAGTTTGATTTGCCTTTTTTATGCCTCCACATGACAGAGAAAGCTGGGTCTCAAAACCTTGGGCTGCGGCCGGCACGTCTACCTTCCCGCTGCGTGGACGGAGGTGATGTATCTGGCTCAGTGCAAAGGAGAAATCCAAGATGGTATGTGCTCCCCATCCTCAGTCGAGATCACCAGTGTTTTCTGTATTTTCTTTAATATTTAGGGATCTTGCAGGAGAGAAGCTTGCCATTCTCTCTTGAAATATCTTGTAGCATTTCATTGTGAAAGTTCCTTTGCAATTTTGAATTTATGAATTTAACTGCTCAACTTTTTAATTACAAAATTGTTTTAAAAATCTTTTGCTCAGCAGAGTCTTTATTGCTTTTTCCCTAAAATTAGTAACTAATTAAAAAGTAATATAAAATGTCATTCAGTGATTTCCAATTACAATAGGCACCATCCTTTGGAGAAACGTGTTTTTGCCTTTTGTAATCCTTCCCCATAAGACATTAATCAAGTGGCCCTTTGGTTTTCACTGATTTTAGGGAGCGAGCTTTGCTCAGTTACCTTTTCATTTCTCGTTTCTCATTTGTGTCTCTTTTCAAACACTAACTACTCTCAAAAAGAAATTAAATAGCATTGCTTTTAAGGAGGGGTAGAATTTCATCTATCATGATCATAAATGTATTGTGTATGCCTCTTAAAATGAATTTTAGAATGCTAATCATATGAGATGAGAGAGTATCTCCCCAGATAAATCGGGTTTTGTAGTGCTCTCTGGGGGCTTTGGAGTAATAGGAAGAGTAAGAACTATTTTGTGTCTAACTTGTCTTCCTGGTCCTTGGTCATGGTGTCACCGATAGCCTGGCCTGTATTAAGTATTGCAAGGATATTGAGGTAAACTCTTGGTTTACCACCAACCAGCAGCTGCTCACTCTTCTTTGCCAAGTAAATTTCAGGTTTGCTCAGCTATCCTCTCGTCAGGTGATCCTGAAGTGTTGCCCAGCCCCAGGGAGTGGATCACAGGTGGTCTGAATCTTTGCCACAGTTCCCTTCTACGTGCTAGTGATTAGACTGAGGGTCATCACACGGCCCAGTCCTGACTAAAGGAAGGTAAAGGCAGCCCTGTTTGAACACTTGTTGTTTACCTGCCTTTGAAAGAGACATGCCTCGGAAGAAAGCATCCCTTCTCCCTGGATCCCTCTGCTCCTCTCTCGTGTGCTGGGTGAGAATGTGAGGCCCAGAGCATGTGCCGTCATCACAGGCATCGTGCACCCCGGGGGGCTGACAGATGAAAGCAGCACCTTGCAGAGGGCAGCTGTCTTAGCCATCCCTGGAACCTTTACAGTTCTGATCTTGTGAAATAATAAACCTTATTTTAAAGACACTTCTTGTTGAGTTTTCTGTTACACACAGCCAAGGGAATTTTAACTCATTCAGAGATTGTACTCCAAATAATACCCTACATATGATTTCTTCTGACCATCTCCATAACTGAAATAACCTTACAGGTGTCCTACCTGTACCTTCCACCCAACAGAAATCAATCTAAAGCTTCAATAATTCTCAGTGACTTCTGATTATACTTGAAATGAGCCCAGCTTCATATGAGAGCCACAAGGTTCTGTGTGACTTGCCACCTGGTTACCACCCTACTTATTCATTATCCTCCAGCTGAGCTGGCCTCTTTGCTGTCCCCAGTGCCTGCCTTTTCTGTTCTTCCTGAGATATTTACACAGCAGTTCCTCAAAACTTTTATAATGATGTGGGGAGCCATTTGCTCTAGGCCCTTAGTGTACAGTCTCCCCTGGGTGGCCCTGTTTCCTCTGCCCTGGTATTCTAGTCTTCTGACATTTACACCAGGTGACTCTAGCACTGCCTTCCACCATCTGGCTCTGTCCCATTTCTCTGCCTTTCTTTACGTGGCCTGGTGACCTATTTAGCATGGCCTGTAACAGCCGGTCCGCCAGCATTTCTTCATGCTCCATGCAGCCTTTCTAGCTTAGTGGCTTCATACCTTGAAGCTGGGCTTCCTGCACCCCTTCCTACATGTCAGCTCGGGGCTCCAAAGCTATAAGGGTATTGGGAGAAAGGTCTTGGAAGCTGTGGTGTCTTTTCTGATGAAGCCTTGGAGGTCACTTGGTATCATGTCTGCCACATTCTGTGGGTTGAAGCTTGTCATAAAGCCTACTCAAGTTTAAGGGGAACAGAGCTTAGAAGTCACCCCTTGATTTGAAAGGCATCAAAGAATTTGTAAAAATGTTTTTAAGCCCTAATCTGATCTTGGTGACTGATTAGGCAGTTAATTGCAGAAATTAATTATAGCATATAAAAAAGCAGGATGAATTTTAAATGATGCAGTTTATATTTTTTAATATTTCAGAAGCCTTAAACATGCTTTATGCTTCCCTGGACCACGCTTGCTTTGATTATGATCACCTGCCTGCCTTGTTTTTTGTCGCGGAATCCGTTTTACATAGACTCTGCTGCGACGCGTCCCTGAAGACGTACTTATATTCAGTGGAGATAAAGCTGACAAAGGTGTGTTTTAGTCAAGTTTGAGCATTTTACAGATTATACATGCTACCCATAACCACGTGACATTCGCTTTAGGATTCAAATAGGACATTGAGATCTATTGTGGAAATTCTCTTGTTTAGTAGTTTATTTTAATCTTCTTTAAATGTGAATAGTACATTATTGTTTGATATCCAAACGAAGGTAGTTTGAGAAAATATAATTTCATAAACTAATGTAAGAAAATAATATTTAACTAAGAATCAACATACCTGTGCACTCGTATATGTATTAGTGGGAAAAATGAAGTAGAAAATGACCTGGGGAAGCTGAGAGCAGGTCTGGATTTATCTGCTTTTCTTCTGCCTTTCAGTGGCCTTTTCCACTTCTTGCCTTTTGTATTTCTGATATCAAGAAAAATAGCTATGAAATACAGTTTTGTCCGCTGCATCTGTTGCTTGTACACCCTGTGCCACTTAATGTTAAGATTCCTTTATCTTCTTATCTGCAAGGTTAAACAATCTCTGCTGGTTCTTATAACAGCTACACATTCTTAGACCACACTTAACTATTTGCCCTACACAATGATAAGTGCCTTAAGTATATTATAGATATCGACTTACTCAATCACAATCCTAATAAGTACGTGATATTACTGATACCATTTCACAGATGAGGAAACTGGCACAGAGTTTAAGTGACTTCCAAACGACCGCAGCAGGGAGGGTTTCAAAACCCAGACAGCACCCTCCTAGCCATCATGCCACACATGTACCCGGGTTCTCAGATTTACTAATTTTAATGCTTACTCTTTATTGTTCTAGCCGATATAAATTAGCTAGTGGAAATAAGGATGCCCTCTATCTATACGTACCTTTGATTCCAGGCAAGAAACCATTCCAGTTGTCCTCCTTGCCTTATGTAGAGGTTTTCACTATGTATCTGAAAGGCCTACTGCTCTTCTCTTTTATACAGAATGATTTATTGAATAAGAAGGTGTGTGACCCACCTCCACATGCATAGTTTTCTTTTTCCTTTGATGAAGTTGCTCAGGGTTGGAGAGTGCTGGAAATGCATGATTCTCTAATATTATTTCCTTTCAGATTTTGTGTGCATTCTTTTCTTTTATCAGTATAGAATCTTCTTAACTATTGATGTTTAATTACAGAAGTGTAGAAAGTAACATATAAACAACATGGTTTAATGTGTGTCAGAGAGAAACGTGACCAGGGCTCTTCCAGCTTCTATGGAAGAACATGAATCATAAAGTACAACACCTGATAAATATTATCCAAGCATTTGTATTTCACACTCAGTTAAAGGAGTCAGGAAAATGAAGAGAAGAGATGGGAATAGAAGGCAAAAGAAGGACAAAGGAAAGAGATGAGAGAACAGAGAAGGGTGAATTGACAAGCAGAAATTCAGCAGAGGGGGCAGAGCCCGAGTTGTCAGGCTACGGAGAGAATACACAGGAAGGACGCACGGAAGGTGTGCACCCAGTCTCAGAAATCAATAGCAATATGGAGAGGTGGAGTTTTGAATAAAAATTTGACCTTCAGAAGCGGTGCCTTTGGCTCAAAGGAGTAGGGCACCAGCCCCATATGCTGGAGGTGGTGGGTTCAAACCCAGCCCCAGCCAAAAACTGCAAAAAAAAAAAAAAAAAAAAAAATCTGGCCTTCAGAATGTTGCAGATGAAAATGTCGGACAGACCTGATAGACATTTTATTTTTATTTGTCTTATGTCTATAAAGGGTACATGTTTATAATTTATGAAAACAATTACAAATATTGATGATACATTTTCCAAAGTTTTTTTTTTTTTTGCAGTTTTTGACTGAGGCTAAGTTTAAACCCACCACCTCCGGCATATAGGGCCAGCGCCCAACTCCTTTGAGCCACAGGTGCTGCCCCAAAGTTCTTTTTAATGATACAGGTTTGTGATTAAGAAAAGTATTTGGTAATGCCTTCCAAAGTAGAAAGTTCATGACTTTTGGAGCAACATACCCCTTCCTGGGTTCAAAGTCCAGTAATGCCACAAATTTGCTTAATAGTCATGAGTGAAGCCCTGAGACTTGGTTAGAGTCATCAATTCATTGTATTTCCACAGGTGTATCTAATGATACCCTACACTGTGCTGTAAGGCTTTGGAGAGACACATGTGTGCATGTGCGTGCACGATGGTGACCCCTGTTGTTATTCCATGATTTAGTCACTTAGACAACTTGTATTCCATTTATTTCTATAGTTACTGGTTTTTTTTCTGGTTTTCTGTAAAATCTTGCAGATAGTATATTTTTTCAGACTTCCCATTTTATGTAGTCTATGTAAAATTATTTTTAGCTATGCATGTGTTTTAAACTTCACAGAAGACTTTGCAGTGTTTATTTAGTAATGACATGGGAGGGTTGTTTTTGCTTCATGAAGGAATATTGAGCTTAGTACAACAGGCAGAATAGCTCTCAACACCACTGAATGCTAATGCTCTTCAAACTGTTTTGACTAAGACCCATATGAAGAAATATCCTTTGCACTAAATCTAGCAAACTCGTAACATACTTTCAATTTTATACTGAAATAAGGAATTGTGCCATATCCTATAATGTTTTGTCTTCTCTTTTATTTAAAAATGTTCTCTCAACTGGCTTCATGACTCACTTAAGGGGCATGACTTGCAATTTGAAGAATATTGTTCTAAAGGACATAGAACAAAATAGCATTCAGTATTGGTCATTATATGCAATGTAGAGATGATTTATAAAAAGTTTCTTGGCAGAACCAGCATTTCAATCTTGATAAAAGTGTTTTAAAGTTATTTCAAAAGCACATAATATCAAGTGAGCTTGAAATTGTTTTATCAAAAGTAAATGTAATAATAAAATGTTTTATTTTCCTTATGGTTCTTAAACATTTACTGATGCAACACAAAAAATGCTTTTTTCTCTTCTCTTTTGACAGATTGGCTATTTGGTTTTCTTACGACTTTTTATATTTTTCCTGCATGGTTACCTAGAAAATTTTAAACAACATTTACTTAGGCTTCAGCCATATTTACGTGGTACAGTATCTTTTATTTTTTTATACGTATAAATGTTTGAAGTTATATTTTGAGGAGCGCAGACTGTCACTATAAAGAGCATAAGTTGTATTTCATGAAAGATGATAGTTGCAGTGCTGAACAGCGTAGCTGCTGGTTTAGCAGACTGCATTGGTTTAGCTTTTTTTGCTCCACATAGTAATCATTTACTTGCAGTAAGCAGACTTACAGTCAATTCTTTCCCCAATTTGGCAGCATACGTTAGTTATTATTATAACCATGCTATGCAATCAATTACTAGAACTTGTTACTTCTGTCTAATTGAAACTTTGTACCCTTTGACCAACATCTCCCCTCCTGTCCACTCCCCCTCCTCCTCCTCTTACTCCAACCTTGGGTAACTCCTATTCTTACTTCATCTTTTTACTTTTCTATTTAAGCAGATGAGTTTGTTTGTGACTTAATTTTTTTTTTTATCAGTAATAGTATCTATGTCACTAGATTTCAAGAACATCAAATTCATGTTTTAGGAAAGTACTTAAATTGGTGACAAATTTCTAAGCTATATATAAAGAAAATGAGGAGTGCTAAGAGGAAGCTGAAGTTTTTCATTCTGAGTAATAGGGTCAAATAATGATGTTCTGGAGACCCCTTGCTCAAGGCTTCTTGGGCATGGTTCTCCAGGCCATGGTCTGACATAACTGGCTCAGAATAAACTTCTTTAAATTAAAATAAGAAAATGATATTCTGAACTGAGAAAGTTTTTTTAGAAATATTGAACAATAACCAGGGTTGTGGCATGCACCTCTAGGCCCAGCTACTAGGTAGGCTGAGGCAAGGGGATTACTTGAGCCCAAGAGTTTGAGGTTGCTGTGAGCTATGATGCCATGGTGCTCTACTAAGAACAACAAAGTGAGCTGAGCCAGCAGTTGAAAACATAGGTTTGGAACTAGGGAAATAAGTGTAGCCTTCCCAGGATATGGATTTGACATTCATCGTGTTAATGCAGCTGAGATAACAGGAGGGTAAGGAGTGAGTGAGGCAAAGCAAATTCTTCACAAACATTTCACGGGTTATTAGTATAACAGAGCTCAGCAAAACAGAATTCAGGGGAGCAAGAGGAAGTGATGACATCTAAGGAGGGAAGTTCATTCAGGAAGATAATACTATCCAGAGCAGTAGAAGTGTTAAAGTATAAATGGTGTGAAAGTGATGAGTCTCTGCTGTCACGAAGTTATTGTTGGCCTGTGGAGCAACAGTGGAGAAGTGGAAGCAAAATTCAGATTGAAAAAAATACACAGGGAGGGGAAAATTTAAGCACAAGAAAAATAAAGTGAATTATTTCCAATAAGCATAGCTATAAATTTTTATGCTGACATATAAATATGTGAATGGTTTTCATGAAAAAACAAGGTAAAAAGAAGAGAAGATTAGTGTGTTGCAGGATAAGGAAAAGAGACTTAAGGTTTTTAAAAAAGGAAATGATAGTTGATGGAAAAAGTCTTGGAGGACAGACTAAAAGGCGATAGTGGAAGTGTTTTGGAGACTGATCAATTTGTACCATTGCTGTGAAGTCCTGATGGGAGGTGTGACCAAGAGGAAGCTGCAGACGGATAGAACAGGAGTCCTTGTCTCTCATAACCTTTGTTTTGATTTCTTTAGTAAATTATATAAATCCTCTGCTTCACTCCTCACCAAGTTCAGCATGGTGACTTATCATGTGTTCAGATGATGGTGACAAATACATTCTGGAAAATTACTCAACTAAAACCCAAGTGCTCATATTAGCGTATTATTATAGACATGTTTCAAGAACATTTTTCTTTAACATAAGAATAAAATCGTCAGATTTTGGCTTCTAGAGCCTTAGCTTTGCATCTGTCTTGGCGACTGTCTGTTTTCTCTTTGAGGCTGTCAGCAGCTGCTGCTACGCCACAGAGCTGACCAGGAGAAGGATTGCTGTTGCTAATTTTTTCACTGTGTAGATGGACTGAAACCCAGAGACTATCTAAAAGTTTAAGTAAAGAACAGCACTAAGATGATAGAACAGATTCTTATGTTTAATTACATAATTTCTGCCTATATTTTAAAATATATACTTTGAAAAATCAGTGAAGACATCTTGAAAGGAATAAAACGGGAGAATGTTAGGTCAGAATAAATGACATTGATATTTGTGGGATGACACTTCAAAAATATCAATTATGAATAGAGTGTTAGTACAACATGATTTACTTTCATCTGGAAACTTCCAAGCGTTATTGAGCTGTAACTACATTTAATTGAGGATTCAATCATTATGCAATTGCTATTCTGAATTTTATTAACTCTTAGGTGCGGATTATTTACCTAATAGGTTTGTGTTGATGTTATACCACCAGGGGGCGCACATAACATTATAAATCTCGAGCAGATGGGAGATTGTACAGCAGCTTCCATGTCTAAGTATTTCTTTTAATCATAGTTTATTAATTAAAAGTCAAATGAAACACAATGAAAAATATTAATGAACTATTTCTCACAAATGATTTTTCTTACAATAGCACTTTATTTCTGCAACGAATCATATCAGAAGTATCCAAACATCTTTTCAAATGTGCAATTCATCCTGAAAACCTCAGAAGTTATATGTAAAAGAGAAATGCCTTCTGAATCAATCTTTGGCCCTGTGAAAATATATGAGAACACAGATTCCTATACGGTGGGTAACCTAATATTGTGGGTGTGCATCAGAAAAGATGGCTATGATTTAATCATTGTGGACGTCAATTCTGGAAGCATTGTTGAAGATGAGCTTAGCTGAGGGGAGTAGTGAGCAGCAAAGATCTAACATCACGCAACCACCTGCACATTTTCTGAATAGCAGTTGATAGGATTAGTAGTGGGCCATCAGTTTGTGCCGTGACTACTTTCAAGGGAGTAATGACATAATAACCTTCTTCCTCATAAATTCCATCTCAGCTATTTAATTAGAAATTGTGACATAATTTAGATTGACTTATCAATTAACATCTCAAAATACTACGTTTTAATTAAAGGGACAGTGTGTAAGGTGCAGGTTATTCTTAAAAGAAAATATAATATTTTTATGCTTTCAAAATTTATATGAAATAAAATTTAATATGCTACTAAAATCAATTGAAAACTTTAAAAGAGAGTTAAAATTGAAAGATAATCCCTAGAATATGAAATTCGCTTAATTTCTAACTCAGGTATTAGTAAATAACTCTAGATAAAACTATCTGTCCTCATTATGTAGTTCCTTGGTGTATAACAAACTATAAGTATGCAAACGCAAGTACGGTGAGCTGCATAATTGTGCATGTACCTTATAGACTGAGGATACATCAAAAGACAAACTTCAGTCTTTGGGGTTAATAAATTCTTCATGTTCTTTTCTCCCATATTTTCTAGAAGAGCAGTGAGTGTTTCTACAGCCTAAGTTTTTTCTACTTCTGCTTATTATTTTACAGTCTATAAATAGAAAATTTGTTTTTCTAACAACTTCTTAGAAAAGGAAAATACTTTTACATAATTCAAGATGAATTACTTACGGTAATTTAAAGAAGATTCCTCATTATTTATATGTTACCTCACAGTTTTCCTATGATTTCCTTAGGCGCTTTCTAAAAGTAGCTATAAAATAAACATATTAGATCATACATTTAACCACATTTATTTGTAATGTTTCTAGGCCTGAATGTTTTTCCCTTTGGCTCATTACTGATGAACCATAAAAAGCGATTTTGCTAAATAAATTGAAACTTTTGGTTATAATTACTAGTTAACACAAATTTCTTTGTGCAAAAAAAGAATCTGTTTTTAAGTTTAAGAAATGTTTTTACAGTGCTATATAATGTAAGATATTGAGCCACAGAAAGAGGAGCACTGATCATGCAGAGAACACACCTGGCCACCACGTGGCTGTGTGATCCAGAGGGGCCAGGAAGCTCTCCGAACCTCCATTTACGTATCTTTAAAACGCCTCATCGTCACCAGTCTGTCTGCCCTGACTCTTCCACGGCATTGATGTAAAGATTGCCAAAGAGCATGTGCTTTGCAAATTATTAAGTGCTATGCAAATGTCAACAGCGATTATTGAAAAATATTATCCTATTTCGGAACCCACTTTAACCTAAGCAGTTAAATATCTTGATTGTCATCTAAGGATATGATTATGTTGACTTAATGTAGTAATTGGAGCTTTTTTCCTTTAAACAAATAACATTCTATGAAATCTTGGCATCATGAATGTTCTGCTTATGAGCCGGGCAACTGTCAATGCTGATTTTTTTTTTTTTTTTTTTTAAGGAATCTGTTTTTGTCACTTTGGCACACACACACAGCACACAAATGGAAGGTTACTGCCGTACAGCTCGGCCTGGAGTGGAAAGGGCAAAAATGTCAACACATGAAAAGAACATCTCAGTTCAGAGGGGGGCAAGTCACTAGGTCTCTCTTTTTCTCTTTCTACTTTGCAGAACAAAGCTTAGATTCAATCTCTTCTAAATTCTATTTCGGCACGATCCGTGTGATCCCATAAGGGGATTATAACAGATTACAACCTATCAGCTTTATTGCTCTTCTTTTTCTCCTCCTAATACCTTATAATACAAAGACCATAAATATTGTTTAAGATCGAGTAGCCGCAGTGCCACAGAAATTGCTGATTCGGGCAATCAGCACTGACTTGGAGGTTGATTGCATGTCTTGAAGTTCCACAGTTTCCACCCACGTTCTCCAGTAGAACTTAATCTAAGTTAGCGTCTCCAGTTCAGTTAAGTAGTAACCCATCAATAGTGAACTCTCTCACCTTCTGGAAAAAGGAAAGCAAAAAAAAAAAAAAAAAAGATAAAAATGTGACTATAAAAACTACATTTATATTCGTTCTTTCTCCCTTTCCCTGTATTAGTATTAATATAGTAGAGGATTTATCAATTTATTAATGTAGTCCTTATCATCTGATAATGCTAAAAGGTCAATGGCAGCATTTGGTCACCCTAAAATATTTAATTTTATGTGTTTATATGCATCTTAGTTAAAACATAACTTCTTGTCAAAGAGATAACTAAAATTGCATTAATGTTCTGTAGAGTATTGTGATACATTAGGATACCCACAATATGGGCGTTGGTTCCACTTAAGAATAGGACGTTTCCTTTTGTCTGCTATTGGGCTCCTTTTCTCTCTTTAATGTCCTTTTAAGTGATCCAGATAGAGTTTCTCTTGACTTTGACAAATGGTATACTTTAATTAGCTCTGTGGATTGCAGAGCCAGAATGCTGGGTTGAGTTTTCCACTCTGTCCCTTCCCCACTAGAAAAGCTGAATTTTCTAAGTATAGCTGTCATATGGTAATAGTACAATCGTTCTTTGGAGAAGTTTCTAGATTTAAACTCGGGTAAAATGCAGTAGACCCTTTATTAATTTACCTGTTCTATGGTCCAAAATAGTTCTCTGAAAACTAGCACACGCACAGAGCTTACATCTTGATGTGATTAGCAATCTCATCCTCTAACACTTTTAAGTACTTGCAAAGCCAAAGGTATTATCTAAATTTGGGATATTTTGCACTACTTTGTAATTGTAAATGGTTACTAGTAGACTAAGACACACATTCTTTAAAATTAGAGCATCACCCTATGATTCATGTCTTTTATTATTATTATTATTTGTTATTGTTTGGGATTCATTGAGGGTACAAAGAATTAGGTCACACTGATTGCATTTGTTAGATCAAGTCCTTCTTAGAAGATTCATGTCTTATTATCCAGGCCTTTCATGACATTGTCAGCCATCCCCTTAATGAGTGAAAACAAGATGAACCTGGACGCTGTGGGCGAGCAGGCAAAACAGAGCCCATGCCCACAGCTCCTTTCTGTTATAAAGGAGAGCCTGGTCCGTCTCTCAGCAGTCTGTGTACCTCAATTTACATCAAATTCAAGCTGGTGAGGTTATGTGAATTCTTAGCCAATAGTAGATTAACACACTTTGTAGGTGGGCTTTTCAAAGTAGGCATTAACACAAGCTGCACTTGACAGTCCAAAGCTGGACAGCAAGGGAGGGGATGAAACAATGTAGAAAGTGGCTCTGGGAGCCAAGAAGAAGGGCGGGGGGAAGTTCTCTGGAGTCATCCAATGTAGTGCCCAGTGCTTTTCAAACTATGGTAAAAGATTCCTCCCAAAATTTCCGTTTAATTTCCAAACCATCACAGACTAATGATTTTGTAAAATATAATAATAGCAAATTCTTTAAAAAAACCTGAAAAGACATAAAAACCTCAAGTCTTGATTTTTATTAGACTGAATATACATAATTACCCTGTCAAATTGTTATGAAAGTTTTAAAATATGTATTACTTATTTCTATACTCTTGTTAATAGTTGTGAATGGCCCTTGTCTGCCAACCACCTTGAGCTGTCTGATTTAGTACAAAGGCGTAGAAGTCTGTACCACCGGATGAGTCTCAAACCATTGCTCCCTCCTGCCCTGCTCCCCGATGACATACATGACACTTATATTAAATTGCATAATATCATTCTATCAATTTATCTAAGCTTGATAGATTTTTTTCTTTAAAATCAGGAAAGAAAATTTAGCAAGAATTCCATGGAAATGCTTGAAATAAATAAAATGCATGAGGATCAGTAATAAGCCCCACTGACCTGGGAAATTCACTGGCCTGGCAGGTTCCTTTGCTCTGGATAATGTCAATGCCCTTCAGCCAAAGGCCACCAGGAGCACATCTATCTGCAGTCAGGCAAATGGGGTTTGTTTCTAGTTGGGGAGAGAGAGAGAGAGAGAGAGAGGAGTCTTGGATATGTTAGTAAGAGGAATGTCTTAGAAAAAGGTCTTAGAAAGGGTTAGAATGAATCAATTGTAAGATTTGGGCTGTGTTTGGATAAGGGGGGGGGCTATGGGGTTCTTTCTAGATTTGCTGTTGTCAAAGGGTAGGGTTGATTCTGGGTGGGGTATATTTTGTGGGTGGCACAGTGACTTTATGTCTGTGCTTAGAAAAAAAATCGTCAGATAGTTGTGTTTATTTATTGTGGTCTCAGAGTGATATTGCCTCAGGTTGCTATTTTGTGAGTTTACATCCAACAGCAGATCGAAATGACCTGGCTGGGAGGGCCAGACCAGCTTGGAATAACATGATGTCAGATCAGTCCCAGACATCAGGAGTCTGATTTATTTCTTCCTCGATGAGTAAGAATGTCCTCATATAAAATTGAAAATAAAGTTTAAATGGTGTTTATTTAAATTCTAATCTTTTCTTTACCAGATGCTCCAAGAGTTTTGTCCGGTATTGGTATATAAGTGTTAACACAAGAATTTTTGACCTAACTGAATAGTCTACCTGGCCATCACTAACTTTGATTTAAAGAGCCAAATGTGTTATTTTAAGCTAACTGGTGAAGCCATCTCAAACATCCACAGGGTGGCGCCTGTGGCTCAAAAGGGTAGGGTGCCGGCCCCAGATGCTGGAGGTGGCGGGTTTAAACCCAGCACTGGCCAAAAAACAAAACAAAACAAAACAAACATTCGTTTACTTACCTTTTCGTTCCGAATAAGTCTGCAATCTGAGGATTGTCAGGCATCCAGACTGAGACACCAAGAGCAATTTCAGAAAAGAATTTCATTTATATGGGTGCGACTTCTTGGGTAGGCTTTGACACAAAGCAGAACATGAGGTGTGTGTGCCTGTGCTGAGGTCGGCACGTCTCAGCGGAATGCCTTACGTTGATTTAGCATAGAGTTTTTCTACAGAATATCCTAACATTCTAAACATCTATTTGCTTTTCTGAATTACTGCTCCCCAGAGTCGGTAGCCTTGCCCAGACTTTGTCTTCCTCATGCCTTTATCTCTAGCATCTAACAGAATTCCTGACATAAAGTAGTTCAGTGCATGTCGGTGGGACTTAACCAGTTTACTGTAATCTCAAAATGTCTTAGTTTAAAATTCATATATAGACTTCAGGTTTTCTATCTTAAGAATACTAAACATGAAAATTATCTTTAAATAGTAGGCTGATGTTATTTTGTGAAATAAATGTGGATTACAAAGCCCTTTAGATTCTGCACAAAATACCAACTAAGTTAGCAGTTGGAGCACATATTATAGGTTGTGTTTGAATCTTCACTGTTCACAGAAATTCAGAGTGCTGTGTCACCATGTCTGCCAGGCATTGAGTGCCCTGATAAAGCTGTGGAGAAGCACTCTCAGGGAACACAAACAGCAGATGGCTTGTGATCGGAATTTGAAGACCTTGAACATAGTTGCTTAGTAGACATTGACCATGTCCTGGCAGGCATAGAGTTTGGTTTTTGAAGTAGTTACCACATTTTAAAATCTAATCTGCTGTTAGATCTTTGTTCAAACTATCCCATCACCTTTTCCTCAGGTTTCAGGGACAACTAAGTCTCATAGAGTCTAAAAAGCACAATTGTGTCTAATGATTATCCCTTATTTTACAGATTGCTAGATTTTTGTTATATAATAGAATTGGTATCACTGAAAACAAGGGACCCATATGAAAAACAAATACATTGGATTTAGATTAACTATGTGTACTTAGCAGCAGGTACTCTGTAAATTGCTCCACTTGGTGAAACACCAAAGTATGGAAGAACATGTATCTTGCTGGGCATGGTGGCTCATGCCTGTGATCTGAGCACTCTGGGAGCCGAGGCAGGCAAGTGGACTGCTTGAGCTCAGGAGTTGGAGACCAGCCTGAGGAAGAGCAAGACCCTGTCTCCAGAAAAAAAAAAAAAAAAATAGCCAGGCATTGTGGCAGGCACCTGTAGTCCAGCCACTTGGGAGGCTGAGACAAGAGAATTGCTTGAGGTTGCTGTGAGCTATGATGCCACAGCACTCCTCTGTTCAGGGTGACAAAATGAGATTCTGTCTCAAAAATAAGAGCACACATCTTCATTTGTATATTTAAAATTTATTTTTATGTTTGTTCAAGTTAAAGAAGTCTTTCTCAGATATATTTTTATATTTGAACTTCAGAAACGTTCGCAATCTAATCAAGGATATCAAGTTAGCCACCTGCTCTGGCACTGTGTTTCTGCGTGGTCTTGTGTTCAGAATAACAGTCCTCAGCTGAATAATGTGCTGAAACATCTCCTCTTTCACAAAACAGAGCTTCTAACGAACTGCTGGTAAGTGTGATTCATAAATCCAAAGTTACTCATGGAGAAAACTTTATGCTTATATGTTAAGTAACCTTTGTACTTAAATGTTAATCGCACCTCAGTTGACTATGAAAAAAAATTTATAATCTCAGCTCCAAAGGTAAGGGCAATTTATGTATTTTATATTAGTTTATTTCATCAATAAATTGTGCTTACCTATTTTTTTTTTTCTTTTGCAAGATGTGCATTCCTGTCCTGCACAGTTTGTTTTTATTCAATGCAATTTTTTATGGATAATGGGTCTATTCTTGCATTGAAAACATCATTATTTTCCAAGTTGTAAAACAAAAACAGGGAAATACGATTTATTATCTTCGGATCAAATATAGTAATATTCCTTTTATGCATGCCCTATCTGAAGTGTATAACAAAAAATGAATCATGACTGAGAAGTGTTAGTTTCCTTTTATACATTTGTTCAGTTAAGAAGAGAAAAAGAAGATTCATAGTTTGGGCTTGAGTGCAATGGAAAAAAGACTTCTGTTAACATTGCGAATAATTGTATATATTTTTTAGGATACCATGTGATATTGTGGTGTGTGTATGCCTTGTGGAATGATTAAATCAAGTCAATTAATGTATTTATCACCTGATATACAATTTCTTTGTAGAAGAACATTTAAAATTTAGTCTGTTAGCAATTTTGAAATATCCAGTATATTATTAATTATAGGCACATTGTGCTATAGATTATTTCTCCTATCCAACTGAAACATTGTACCCTTTGAACAACATCTCCCTTTCCCTCCCGACCCTGCCCAGCTGCCACCCAGGACTCTCCCCCTTCCCCTTTCTACGTGGATGATTTGACATTCTCAGATTCCACCTGTGAGTGCCATCGTGTAGTGTTCCTTTCTCTGTGTCTGGCTTATTTCCTTTAGCGTAATGTACTCCAGATTCATTCATGTCGTAAATGAGAGAATTTCTTTCCTTTTAAAGTTCAATAGTATACTCCGTGTGCAGATGCTACATTTTCTCTATCTATTCATCCCTCAGCGGATACTGAAGTTGACTTCGTATCTTGGCTATTGTGACAATGCTGCAGTGAGCGTGCGAGTCTTGTCATCTCTTCAACAAACTGATTTCATGCTTTTAAAATACACCCAGAAGTGGAAATGCTGCATCATACGGTAGTTCAAGGTTTAATTTTTTGAGGAATCACCGTACTCTTGTCCGTGCTGGCTATCCTGACATGCTTTCTCACCAACAGTGAACAGTGTCCAGGTTTCCTTTTGCTCTACATCCTCGTTAACACTTGTTATCTTTTATCTTTTTAATACCAGCCATGGTAACAGGTGTGAGGTAATATCTCGCCGTAATTGTAATTTGCATTTTCCTGATGATCAGTGATGTTGATCACTGTTTTATGTATCTGTCAGCCATTTGTATGTCTTCTTTTGAGAAATATCTGTGCAGATTCTTTGCCCATTTTTTTGATTGGGCAGTTTTGTTATTTTTATCAATTTATGTGAGTTCCTTGCATATTTTGGATATTAACCCTTTATCAGATATCTGGTTTGCAAATATTTGCTCCAAATACAGGAGTTGTCTGTTTACCTTGTTAATGTCTCATTTGCTGTGCAGAAGCTCGTCAGATGGCTCTAATCCCATTGGTCTATATTGTCTTGTGGCCTATGCTTTTGGGTCATATCCAAGAAATCATTGCCCAGACCAAAGTTTTCTCCCTATGTTTTATTCTAGTAGTTTAAGAGTTTCAGGTCTTATGTTTAAGTTTTTAACCAACTTTAAGCTGACTTTTTGCTTATGGCGTGGTAGTAGGGCAAATTTAATTCGTCTGCATGTGTATATCTCTTTTCCCAGCACCGTTTGTTGAAGAGATTACCTTTCCTTATTGTGTATTCTTGGAGACTTCATCAAAAATCAATCGACTATAAATGCATAGATTTATCTGTGGGCTCTCCATTCTGTTCCATTGGTCAGTGTGTGTGTTTGTACCCAGTAGGGTGCGGTTTACTCCCTGGAACTTTGGGATGGATCTTTCTGTCAGGGATTGTGGTATCTCTGGCTTTGTTTTTTGCTTGTTGTTTTATTTTGTTTTCTCAAGATTCTTCTTCTTTTTTTTTTCTAGAGACAGAGTCTCTCTATGTTGCCCTCGGTGGAATGCTGTGGCATCACAGCTCACAGTAACCTCCAACTCTTGGGCTCAAGCAATTCTCTTGCCTCAGCCTACTGAGTAGCTGGGACTACAGGCACCTGCCACGGAGCCAAGAAAACAAAAAATGGCAGGGTGTTGTTGCAGTTGTCCTTGCTGTTTAGCCAGCCCGGGCTGAGTTTGAACCTGCTAGCCCTGGTGTATGTGGCCGGCGCCCTAACCACTGAGCTATGAGCACTGAGCTGAGTTTCCTCAAGATTGTTTTGGATATGCAAGAGCTTTTTGTGGTTTTATACAAATTTTGTTTTTTCTGTTTCTGTGGAGAATGACATTAAAATTTTGATAAGGATTGAATTAAATCTTTAGATGACTTTGGATAGTATGGGCATTGCAACAATATTAATCCTTCTGATGTATGAACATGCTCTATCTTATAATTTATTTGCTTTAGTCTTCAATTTCTCATCAATATTTTATAATTTTCAGTATGCACATTTTTCAGCTTCTTGATTGAATTTCCTCCTGAGCCTTTTATTATTTTTATTCTATTGTAAATGGGATTGTTTTCTTCATTTGTTTTTCAGATAATCTTTTGCTAGTATATAGAAATGCTCTTGATTTTAGTGTGTTATTCTGTTGCCTGCAACTTTAATTTATTAATTGTAACGATTTTTGGTAGACTCTTTAGGGCGTTGTATACATGAGATCATTTTATCAGCAAACAAGCAATTCTACTTTTCCTCTTCCTATTTGGGTGCTTTCCCGCCTGCCTCACTGCTTTGAATGGGACTTTTTGTACTACAGTGACTGGACGTGGTGAGGGGATGGCCTGGTCTTGTTCCTCATCTTTGAGGATGGTGTTAGCTGTGGACTTGCCACATGTGGTCTTCAGAGGAACTTTAAAGGACTATTTCTGAGGAAATTGAACAGAGAGCATTCTTTCCCAATATTTGAGGAGGCTCAGAATTTTAAATTTCTTTTTCTGATGATACCGATAATAAAAATCTGTCATGCTGTGCCAAGTTGAAAATTCAATTCCTGTTATATAAGTATATATGTATGTGTGTATATACAGATAGGTATATATATATATATACAGTTTTTAAATTAGTTACTATTTTTTAAAGCCCTGACAACCCACCTATACCAGGAGTCTTGTTATGTAAATTCCAGGTTCCTCAGTATCAGCTGCAGAGCCTCCTGAGAACCTGGAGGGTGCCTTCTTAACAAAAGGTATTTTTCCACTTATGTTTGGAAGTCTGTGGGATCTTGGATAAAGTCAAGGTTTCTAGAGGACAGCTCATCTTAGAATTTACCTAATTTCCTAGAAGTACAATAGTTTAGATGAGGGTTCATCAAGGTCTTAATTTGTCTCGTGGTCTGATGATAGAAATGCACTCAGTGTTACAGTTTGAGAAAGACTGTGATTTTTGTACACTTTAAACCTAAGAGTAGTATTTCTAAATAGAAAATAAAATGCAAATAGAAAGTATTTATTAAATAAGTAATACATAATATAATTTTAGTAAGTATATTTTATTGTAAAGCTCCTAAATACAGCCAAATGAAAGGTTCTCATTGTTGGTAATTACAGCATTCTGGAGGCTATGGTGGTTCTTTGAGACCAATCTTTTTTTTTTTTTTTTTGAGACAGAGCCTCAAGCTGTCCCCCTGGGTAGAGTGCCGTGGCATTACAGCTCACAGCAACCTCCAACTCCTGGGCTCAAGCGAGTCTCCTGCCTCCGCCTCCCAAGTAGCTGGGACCACAGGTGCCCGCCACAACGCCCGGCCATTTTTTGGTTGCAGCCGTCATTGTTGTTTGGCGGGTCCGGGCTGGGGATTCGAACCCACCACCTTAGGTGTACGTGGCTGGCGCCTTAGCCAGTTGAGCTATAGGCGCTGAGCCGAGACCAATCTTAATACAGAAAATACCTTGTGGGAGATCTGAATATATAATTTGATTTTTGAAAGGGCAAACAAGTAGGACTACTGTAACTCTCAGAAAACTCTATCTTGATTTAGAAAATAACAGAAGTTGTTTTTAACATATAAAAATAAATATTGCACAACTTCAAAGTAATAATTACAAAACAAACAAATTTAAATAATTGATGAGACAGTAAAAGTGTCTGATTAAGAATATCAGAATATCTAATTCTAGAAGTCAATTGTTTCTTTAACCAATTTTTATGTTTTACTATAATCCATCAACATCATTTAATTTGCTAATGATTTATGTGTAAGGTTGTAAACATTTATAAGTCAATTTTTTTACCTTTAGTATTTTATAGATTTTAAAGGGATTAGACTTAAAACAATTTTTATTTAACATTGAAAAAACAGAGGCCATGTTTAATATTATGTACTAACTCCATCATTATTAGTATTAGCGGTAATGTCTGAAACCAGATTTTAAAGGTCCCAGAGTAGCACTCTTTCCAACGCATCTTTACAGGGTCATTTTGGCAACATTGTTAAGCAGTTAACTGCTTTGAGACCCCATGGCACTGAATACTGGGGGATATTTTCTGGGGGGTATTATGGCAGTGTGTAGATAATGTTCACTGAACAAAGGGGTAAACTGAGAAAATGGTAAAATACAGTGACTGCTTCTAAGATAAGACAAAATAAATCACTATAGAGTTATCAAAATCAAACCGGAAATAGTTTTGCATTTCTGGGGAAATTTTAATATTGGTGCCATATAATCCTAAGATATTATTCAGTACATACAAAAAAATTAATTGAATGCATTTAGAATGAAATGGAAATATTGAGGCATCAGGCCCCAATGATAAATTAAGTATTTATTTTATCAGTATTTGCTGCAGCCTTAGAATTTATTTTATCAGTA